CTTAATTAAAATGGGAAAAATCTAGTATTTTACATTTGTAAACTGCCATCCCAAAGGCACAGGGTTCAAATCCACCAGTTGCTCTACAGAAGAAATATGGGCAATATCCTCCCATTTGATTTATTGCCTCTAAAAACTTGCCAGAGTGTGAGCTATGGATCTCTTACAACTAGATGTTATATAACAATAAATAATACTGAGATTGTCAAAGATTTCATCTTAGTTGGATCCACCCTCAACACCCTGAAGCAGCAATCAAGACATCAGAAGGCATATTGTTCTAGGCAAACCTGTTATAAAATGTTAAAGAGCAAAGGTGTGCTTTGAGAACTATGGTGCACGCAAGCCAAGCCTGTGCTGTGGTGTTGAGTCGGAACGGACTCAGAGCTGACCCCCTAGCAGGTTGTCAGAGGCAGTAAATCACATGTGAGGAGATAGCCCATCCTTCTTCCATGAAGCAGCTGGTGGATTTGAACCTTGTGTATTTGGGATTGTAATACAACATCTTACTACTATTTTAATCATCTTATATGTATGTGAAAGCTGAATAATGAATAAGGCTGACCAATATAATTAATGCTTTAGAACTATGGTGTTGGTTAAAATGTGAAATATATTGCAGACTGTACGAAGAATGAACAAAACTGTCTTGAATGAAGTATAGTCAGAATATTCTGTAGATGCTTGGATGGTGAGATGTTGTTTTTAGACCTGTCTTTAGGAGAGGCCAGTCCCTAGAGAAGGGGATGGTGCTTGGTAAAATACAGTGTCAGTATAAAAGAGGAAGACCTCAGTGAGAGGGGCTGACACAGTGACTTGCAACAATGGACTCAAATTATAAATGTGTCACAAGACTGGGCAGGGTTGCATTCTGTTGTATATGTGGTGGCTATAAGCATGAACCAGTTCAAAAGCTCCCATTAACAGCAACAACAAGTTTAAGCTACAATGAATATAAATTCTTTCTAAAAAATTTTAAAAATTAGCTAAGATTAATAGCAATGTTAAGTACTTTCTGCCATTTAGCCTTAGTTCTATATAGGAGTAAATGGAATTTTAGACAAAGGAGGTTTAATAGATAACTGGTTATAGAGATATTCTATTTGCTTTAAATTTATTGTTAGATAATTTCTTATCCTCTGTACAAATGGAATATAGCTTTTCCATCTTTATTCAAAGGATGTAACATCTCATAAAATCCATAATTTTGTTTTGCTATCATATGTCAATAGTTCTTGTCTCTGTACTTTAAAGACATGTGACATCTTATTATCATTAAGGAAATCTAAAATTAAGAGTTAAATACACAACTTAATGCGGTGTAAAACTTTACTATTTATTCTTTGTACTACTGGTATAAATCAGTAGCTATTTCTTAAATGTTTTAACATGCAACATTTGAAATTAACCTTGAATCCATAATGTCCATTTATTACAATATCTGATTAAAATACTAATAATGTTAAGTCTAGAAAGAATTAAAAATGCCTTTTTATAGAAAATATCAGAGGGCTTTTATCTTCCCTATGGTTTCTGACATACTTAAGCTGATATTTATTTAATACTTTCTTAGACTTAGTTCTCTAGAGAAGAAATATTCATGAAATGGTTTACTGAGTTGTGGAGGCTGACAAGTCCCAAAATCTATAGGTCACGCATCAAGTTGGAGATGCCCCTGTCTCATGTGATTCTAAGGCCTAATGAATCCATAGTTGGCAGCTGAGATGATATGATGTTGGCTTATAAAATCCTAAAATCTCCAGGTTAGATAGCAGTCTACAGGGACTTAAGGCTGTAGGACAGATGAATCCCAAAATCAGCAGATCATATAATAGGTTGCTGACTCAAGTCCTACAAGTCGGAAGTCAGAGTATGACGGGTTCAGACCAAAGAAGAAATTTGTACACATAACACTCACAGTGGTAAGGAATTGAGATGTCATTACAAAGGTTAAAAGCCGTTAGCTGTTCCATGGGAGAGAAATGAGCAGTCTCCTTCTGTGGTATTTACTGCCTCTATAAACCTGCTGAAGGATCAACTTTGGGTCGGTTCAAAGGAGATGGTGAACCACCACACTCTCTGATATACCTGACCCCATGGAGGTTAGCATTTCCAATACTTGAAATGGAAGAGATTTACATAATATTGCAAAATAGAGGATTACATCAGATCATAAGATAGAGGCTAATCACATAATACTGAGATTTGTGGCCTCAACAAATTCATCCATAACATAAAACATTATAATCTAGTTCTTGTCTCCTTGGTGCCTATACACAATTTCGTAGAGTATGAGTTATATATAAATACAAAACAAAGAAGTCCTCATAACAATTACAATCCCTGTTTCTGCAACTGGTTGCATGGTCATAGCTGGTGTTTAGAACTACCTTTGCCACCACCTATTCTGTATTCCTTTTACCTTGAGTGAGCACCTCAGCTTTTTTGGCTGTTTTTGGTTGTTTTATTAGCCTGGTAGGGTAACCTAAACCTCCATTCATCACGGGCCTGGGCCGTTAGTAGTTACATCAAAGTTAGGTTGCTATAGTTTTCCATTGACTTTAACCACAGAGCATAGTAATACTAAGAGATTTCCCAAATGATCTTCTGTATTCCATTATCTCCATTACATAATATCAATCCTAGTTGACGTTGAATAGTATGGTACTTCTTTCTTTGCCTATTGATCCAGAAGCATGAGGATCCAAAGTGCCTAGATGTCCTTCTTAACTTACAGTTCAGAAGAATCAGTGATGAGTCTCTTTACGGTAACATTCCTTTCTATGTAACTGAGACCTCTAGGCCTTCAGTGCAAGAATTTTTCAAATGAATCACTAGGGATAATTATAAGTGGTACCACTGCAATTTCTCCACCTTGATTCCTGAACCTGAGAATCCTAGCTTTTAAAGAAACAAACAATACAACGTATTTGATGGTGGTTTAGAACATATATAACTTCCTGTTGAACATTGACCCAACCCTGCAACATAAAGCAACCTTGATGGTAAAGTAATTGTGTTTTTAAAAATTTACTCCTTTATATTATCAAGCAAACTGGTTCAGGATGATCAGAACATGGTAGCCAGTGAATTTCATAAGAATCAGCCCTTGCTGAACTTCACTTGCTGTGAAGTGAGTCTCTTGATCAAGAATAATGCTGTGTGACCTATCTTGCTGGTAGAAGAGTCATTTTGTAAACCCATGGATGCTAATTTTTGTAGGTGCCCTCTCTGCTAAGACTTGCTATTAAACCAAAAGCTGAGGATAGCCAAAGAATTTGTACAGAGAAGGCAAATATGTTAGCTAGATTAAGTATCTATTTCAGTAAGAAAAAAACATTGCCTTTTCCAGAATGTAAATGGTCCACTATAATCAATCTGCCACCAGTTGCAGAATGATTGTCTTCAAAAACTGATGTCACATTACAGACAGACTTAGTATTGGATTCTGCTGTTTGTAGATTCGGCAGTTCACAGCAGCTATAGCCAAATCAGCATTGGCAATTGCAAGTCCATGTTTCTGATCCCTATAGGCCATAACTTCTGTGCCTGCAACTTTAGACGTTTTGTGTATGACTTCATTTGGTAGTGACAGTAGCTATAGCAAAATGATGACTGGTTTCCACAGAACACAACAACATACCCACTTGATTGTTAAAATTCTCCTCTTCTCAGGTCACCCTTTGATGAGCATTAATGTGAGACACAACCGTTGTTTATTTCTTTGGCCTAATTATGGAAATCTATCCATATATTTCTTCCCCATACTTCTTTCTCACAGTGTTTTAAACATATTTCTTTAAGGTTTCTGACCATCCAGCCAGACAGTTTGCTACAACCCATGATTCAATATACTATCACATATTTGGTGATGTCTCCTTCCAAGTTGAATAAATAGTAAGGCACACTGCTTGAAGTTCTACGCATTAAGAGGATTTATTTCACCACTGTCCTTCAGGGAGATGTCAGAAAAGGCCTGCAGTGCTGGTCTTGTCCATTTTGAAGTGGTGCATATGTATAATGGGGAACGATCTATAAACCAGGCCCAAGTTTTCTCCTCTATTAACTAACTATAAGTAACTCCTCCCATAAGGGCCATAGGTACAAACTGGAAGAGAGAATGTATATGACAGGAGTGGAGACTAAAGACATTTAGGCCGCTTCTTTATGCAACTTACTTGTAGCCCCAGATAGTATTTGAGTTTGACCTCACGATGGGTAACTCAGACTGTAAGTTGACACTGCCCCATGGTTGTATGTTCTGTACTTAGGAAGGCACAGTATCAACATCTGGAGATGGCCAGCTGTTGCTATGGAATTCTAAGGGCCTGCACTGTGATTCACTAATTAGAACCTGTCTAAGACTCAAAACTTCATTTCTGTCATTGACGCTTTAGATATCATTGATTTGA